AGCACCGCGGAGGGAGGCGATTTCAGGCAGGGCGCGGAGAGCGGCAGCAGAAGCGGGATGCCTCGTCTTGTCCTGCCCCCCTTGCGCTCTGGCAGGGGCAGGAGCACGAGGAGGAACAGGGGCGGAGGGGAGGCGGGGAGGCGGGACCGGGGACTGGGAACAAGGATGATGATGTGGAGGAGGAGGAGGAGGAGGAGGAGGAGGAGAGGAGGAGGAGGAGGAGGAGGAGGAGGAGGAGGAGGAGGAGGAGGAGGAGGAGGGGGAGGAGAAGAAGAAGGGCAACCCGAGGGGGGAGGAGGACGCCGAGGACAAGAGGCAAAAGCGGAGGGCAGGAGGAGATGTGCAAGAGTGACAAAGAAGAGGAGGAGGAGGAAGAGGAGGAGGAGGAGGAGGAACAGGAGGTACATGAGGAGGGGGAGGAGGAGGAGGAGGAGGAGGAGGAGGAGGAGGAGGAGGAGGAGGAGGAGGAGGAAGAGGAAGAAGACGAGGAGGAGTCTAATCCGAGGTGCGGAGTTATCCATAGCCACCGGCTGGGGGATCGACGATCGGGGACAGCCGGCAGGGGGCGGATGTGGATATGCTCGTGACCCGTGGGGCCCAACTCTGTTTGCCTCCGCCGCCCGCGGGGGCCCTGTGGCGCCAGTCCCCCGGGCGGCGGATGCGCACAGGTAGTCGCCTCGCAGGCAACGGCCTCCGTGCAGCCGTGCAGGTCCAGGCGTACAGTCAACCCGCATAAGAAGAATGGGCAACCTTCCCAAGTACCCTTGCATCCTTGTCCCTTCGGCCCATCCTTGACCACTTTCTCTGGCCGTGCCCCGCTCGAAAAGCGTCGAAATGGCCCTCCGAGGCCCATGCATCCTTATCGCGCCTGCTTACTATACGGGTTGACTGTAGTCAAACACAGAGGAAAATTGCAGTTCACGTCCTTTTGCAGGATTGATTTTCAGAAATGATTCGAAAATGGTCAGGGAACGCTTTGTCAATCTGTTCCGACTATTCGTGGGCAGTTGGGAAGAACTGTGTCTTGCAAAATCCGACCGCAGGAGCACATGCCCGACCAGAGCCCAGGCCTTCCTCCTCCCCCTCCCCCTCCCCTCCCCCTCCCCCTCCCCCTCCCCCTCCCCCTCCCTCCCCCTCCCCCTCCCTCCTCCTCCTCCTCTCCTCCTCCTCCTCCCCTCCTCCTCCTCCTCCTCCTCCTCCTCCTCCTCCTCCTCTCCTCCTCCTCCTCCTCCTCCTCCTCCTCCTCCTCCTCTCCCCCCCATGCCTCTCCCAGAGGAGGTGCGCCCAGGGGTGCCCCGCGGCGGGAGGGCGCGGAGACCGGGCGGGCGCGGGCGCTGTGGGCATTCGCTACGGAGCCTTGCTCCCCGAAGCAAATTACAGTGCCGTTTTAAATACATGCTCCGCGTGCGGATCATGTATTGAAAATGCAGGGTCTAATTTCAAAATCAACGATGAGTTCATGCACGAATTCATTCATATGTCAATCATGTAGCAAACATCCTATATTTTCAAACATCCTATGTATTTAAAACCGCCCTGTAGAGGGAGGGGGGCCCCCTCCGGGATTCAGGCGATCGCAAGCATGGACTATAAGGGGGCGTGGCTCAGCCGCGGGTCCCGCTTCCATGGGGCATCGCGGAGTTCCGCCGCCGGACGAGGCGGCACCGGGCACATTCGGAGAGGGCCCCCCCCCGATCCATGGACTTGGCGACCGCGCGCCAAATCCATGGATCGTTAATCCATGGTTGCGCGTCGCGGCGGCCACAGAGGGCCAAACGAGTGACTTGATTAGTGTTAAGCCGGGTGTGCCCCTTCACGGGGGAAGTATCCGGAGAACAACAGTCAGGAGACGATATTTCTGACCTTAGGAGGACATGCCAGACCTAAGATTCGTGACGCTTCGCGCATCCCCACCGGCCTACCGCTCCCTGCCCGCCGCCTCGGAGCCGCCGACCAAAATAAATGCATCCCCACCGGCCCATTCAGGATCGATGCCCAAGCGCGGCGATCAGGGAAGTTTAGGCGCGTAATTACTTTGGGACTTTAGTGTAGACCCATGCCAAGAAACACCCTGCTTGTATCCAGGCTGCCCTGTGTTTCTTGGGTTCTGATCTTATTGCTATGGAAATTGTGACGTTCCCATACCACAAATCAATGGACGTCCAGGGGGTTCAGGGTTGGATTTCTTGTGGAAGGTTTCTTGTGGTCGAGCCCCTACTGTATGAGGGGGCGCAGCCGCCAAAACCGAATATCGGGATCAGCCTGAGCAGGCCCAGGAGTGAGCCAGGCATGGTTTCGCGGGTCCTTCGATATGGGAGTTTCTTTGCAGTTGGGCAGTGCTGGAAGTATTTGGGGCTCTCTTTGGGCTCTATTGGGGTTCTCTTGGGGGCGCTCTTGGGGCCGTCTCGGAGGCCGCCGATCCAAGTCAAAGTGAAGAAGGTGCCACTCACGCCTCCCTCCCCGCACCCTTCGGAGTCAGCAGTGTCACCTGTTTGGGTGCTCTTGGGGCGTATTGGGCCCCTCGTGGGGCTCTCTCGGGCGATACTGGAGCCATCCTGAGGCCTCTGTGGCCCACAGAAAGCGAACACGAGGGAATCCACAGATCATGTATGTCTCTTAGGTGAAGGAAGGGTTTGGGGCTCGCTGAGGGGGTCTATGGTGGGCTTCGTGGCCACTTGGAGCCGTCTTGGGACGGTCATGGCGCCTGTTGGAGACATGCTGAAATCTACAGTGAGCAATCCTGGGCTATCCTACGCGATCTTGGAGGCCATCTGAGGCTATCTGGGGCCTTGGTTGGGCCGTGTCGAGCCATGCTTGACAGTCTATAACCCCACGCGACCCCCCCCCTCCAGACCCAGGGAGAGGGTGTACGGGGAGAGGTGAACCTATCCCCGAATAGGGGGAACGAGGTTGGAACAATCAACTCTCTAAACCACACGCGGCCAAAGGGCAGGTGGGACTCCTCGATCCTCCTCCCTCATCCTTCCCTCACCCTCTCTCCCTGCTCCCCTCCTCCCGCCCTCTCGGGGGGTGGATCGCCATGCGAAGGGGGACGACGAGGACGAGGAGGACGGCGAGGCGGAGGGCGAGGAGGACGAGGAGGACGAGGAGGAGGAGGAGGAGGAGGAGGAGGAGGAGGAGGAGGGGGAGGAGGAGGACGAGGAGGACGAGGAGGAGGCGAAGGCCAATGACCTCGAGGGCCCGGCGACTCGCGGCCTCGTGGGAGCGAGGAGGCGCCCTCCGGAGGCTGCCGCGACGCGGCGCCCGCGGAGCGGCAGCCCCCCCCTGCCGGCGCGCCGCTGACGCACCAGCTGGTCGTGACGGGCCAGTGTTCCACCACCACCACCACCCACCACCACCCCTCCTCCTGCTCCTCCTCCTCCTCCTCCTCTCCTCCTCCCTCCTCCTCCTCCTCCTCCTCCTCCTCCTCCTCCTCCTCCTCCTCCTCCTCTCCTCCTCCTCCTCCTCCTCCTCCTCCTCCTCCTCCTCCTCCTCCTATCCCCTCTCCCAGAGGAGGTGCGCCCAGGGGTTGCCCCGCGGCGGGAGGGGCTCCCCCTCCTCCTGCTCCTCCTCTCCTCCTCCTCCTCCTCCTCCTCCTCCTCCTCCTGCCTCCTCCTCCTCCTCCTCCTCCTCCTCCTCCTCCTCCTCCTCCTCCTCCTCCTCCTCCTCTCCCCCCTCCAACTGATGGTGGCGGTGGCGGAAAGCAGGCCCCTCAGGTCGTGTGCGACGCCGACGCGGACTTCTGCGACGCGGCCGAGCGGCACTTCGCCGCCGTGCACGGGGCGCAGGCGCGCCGCGGGTCCGCAGGCGGCGGCGGCGACGGCAGCCCCACGGGTTCCTCGGGGGAGGAAGAGGTGCCCATACGAGGGGCACGAGCACTGCCAGGAGGGGTAAACACACACAGGCACAAGTAATCGTCGATTCTCCAGAAAAAATCTTGGAAGAGTATGGGAAGCGCGGATGGAAGACCAGAGTCCAAAAGGTCCGGAAAAGATCGGGACTCCTGTCATTTGTGTGTATTCATTTGTGCCTCCCAGGGCCCCCTTCACACTGACACAAACATGAAAACTCAAAGGTCCGCGCGGATTGCTTGGATCCGCGCTGGACCAACCCCCCCCTGGTGCGCGGAGCGCGCCAGGGGCGGCGCCGGAGGCGCCGCCAGGGGGCCCCAGCGTCGATCCGAGAAGTCCGAGCGGACCTCCGAGTTTTTATGTTTGTGTCACTCTTCGTTCCCCTGCACACCGCTGCCCCTGCCTCGCGTTCGCCTCCGCGGGGCCCCCTGGGAGGCCCTCGTCTCGCCCCCGCGGGGCTCGCGGAGGAAGACCGGATTGCTCCAACTCCGAGCGTTGCAGCCTTTGCGCGGCGGGCGACGTTGCCTCGTTGCGGGCCCTGGGGCCCTCAAGGATGGGCCCTGGGGCTCGAAGCGGGTCGCAGAAAGATGCAGTCCAGGTTTCTGGAAGAGCTTTTCCCAGACGGCGCGATTGTTTCGCAGCGTCGGATCTCAGGGGACAGCAACCCGGCGGGGCCAGGACCGGGATGCATCGGTCGAGGGCATTCTGGCACGCTCTGCAGAGCGTTATGGAGCGTTTCTGCGGCCGCGGCCTCCGACATTATCTTCCAGAGACCCGGGTTCTCAGAGCTCCCCGAGGTTGTCTTCTCCGATGTCGCGCCTGTCGTGGCTTCACGTCATGAGGGCGGAGGACTCGATATGAGTCCTAAAGAAGCGCGGATTTCCATGAAACGATGTGGAAATGGAATGGAGGGGGTGGACACATACATGGCATATAAACATATATTTATATATGTGTGTATATATATATGTATTTATGTATATCTATGTGTGTGTGCGTGTGTGTGTGATTGTATGTGTGTGTGTGTGTGGAGATCCTGCGGTTTGTGTCAATTTGTTTTGTGTCCCCCATGGGCCCTTTGATCTGAGGGCAGCGATGTGGCGGCGCAGAAGACGTCGGCGGGGGTGGCCCCTGAGGAGTACCTGAGCGATGGACGAGCTGCGGCTGTGCAGCCGGGTCTTGCTTGTGGGGCGGGGCCTTGGCACACGGAGGGCGCTCGTGTGTGCTGGGTGAGTCCAGTGCCATGTTGATGGGCCTCTCTTCCACCACCACCACCATAAGTTGGAGGGGGAGGGGGTCCCCCTCCTTCCTCTCCTCCTCCTCGTCCTCCTCGTCCTCCTCCTCCTTCCCCCCATCCAACTTCTGGTGGTGGTGGTGGTGTAAAACAGGCCAATCAATGTCACCTCTTCGTAATCGGGGCGCGGATGGCTCTCGGCAGAGTCTCCGTATCCTCGCGGGCGTCCTGTGGAACGGGCTGGTCCCGGCCGCAGGCCTCCGTGGAATGACTTTTCCGTGTACGTTGCAGTGGGGGCCCATGCCAAGGAACACAACGTTCGCCTCCAGGGTGCCCTGGGTCTCTTGGGTTTCGATGGTTCTCCTGTGGAAGGGGTGACGTTGCCACACCCAACATCGATTGGCGTCCTGGCATCTCAGGGTTTGGTTTCTTGTGGAAGGTTTCTTGTGGTCGAGCTCCTGCTGTACTGCCCGCGTCCGTCGTGCCCGACGCGGCCTCTCCCCCCCCCGCCCCAGCTCGATCGGATTATCGATGTCCCAGCGATCCGACACCGATGCTCGCACGGGGCTGTTGCGAACCCTGGCGGGGCCGATCTGATTTGCCGGTTCAGGGCCGACGCGACCCGACCCGGCGCACGTTCCGACCCGACTTGATCCCCTGATTCGATATCGATTGATCATGCCTCTTTTCGACACGTCCTCGCTCGAGCCCCTTTCTCCCCATCCTGCCTTTCTCCCTTTCCTCGAAGATGAACTGCTGCAAAAACAAAAACATGTCGGTTTATGTTTGCCGGACAAAACGAGAGGTGTGGATAGGGAAAGGGGGGGTACGAAATCTGCTGCATGCAGCTGGTTTCAGCCCCGCCGCTAAGCCCATTCCTCGATACATGGGCGCCTCCCGGCGCCGGGAGGATTCTCTACCCTACCCTGTGCTATCCCCCCCTTTCATTCCCCGCGATTCGAGTTTATGCCATTCTTCGATTCTTGGCCCTGCGATCTTCATCGGAGACAGAGGCACGCGGACCACCGCCTCCGAGAACCCATCGGGGGGAGGCCGTTTTCCTGGGCAGGAGAGCGCCCGAGCGGCACGCCCAGCACCGGCCGACGCTCAGAAAGTGCCTCCGCTCCTCCTCTCGCTGCCCAGTCGAGGGAGAAGCAAACATGAAGGCATGAATTTGGGGAGGTCCGCGCTACAATCTCTTGCCCCCCCCCCCCCCTGGCGAGCCGAGCTCACCGGGGGCGGCGCCGGAGGCGCCGCCAGGGGGCTCCAGCGCCGATCCGAGGAATCCGCTCGGATCTCCGAGAGAGTATGTGTACGCCACTGTTTGTGCCCGACTACAGCATTTAATTGCCCCAGCATTGTTATGCTCGTCGATTCGCCTGCAATCAAAGGTATACATATATATATATACATATATATAGATGTATGTCAAGCTCGTCGAGCATTACACACTACACGTATTTTTCTTTTTTGGCCACAGACTCGAGTGAGATTCTTGAAGCTTGGGGGGTTGATCCCTTCTGTGGTCGGTCCCCTGCTCGAGCAGTGTGTGCTCCCCTGCCCTGCTGCCTTCGATTCGGTGCCGGCTGATGCCGCCTCCCCGGGCGGGCCGGCGCCCGCGCGGACGGCCGCGCCCTCAGGTGGTGCGCGGGCGGCTGCAGGAGCTCGAGGGCGTGGACTGCTTCGTCTGGCGGGGCAGCAGGGGGGAGGAGGGGAGGGAGGGAGGGAGGGAGGGAGGGAGGGAGGGAGGGAGGGAGGGAGGAGGAGGAGGAGGACAAGAAGGAGAAGGAGGAGGAGGAGCAAGTTGGAGGAGGAAGAAGCGGAGGAGGAGGAGGAGGAGCAAGGATGAGGAGGAGCAAGGCTGAGGAGGAGGAAGATGAGGAGGAGAAGCGAGGAGGAGGAGGACAAGCTAGGTGCGCTCGCGTCATATCTGACGTCCTACTCCTCCCTCCCATCCCACACCATGGCGTATATTTCTTTTTCTATTCGCACAATCGGATGTCGTAGCATGCCATAGCATTACATGGCACAGCATGGTGTTGAAGATTATCGCGTAGCATGGCATAGCATGGCGTGGCGACGCCCCAGAGGGGGGGCGGGGTCCTGCGGCCCCAAAACATCCACGAATCGACACCGAATGTGGAATCACTTCCGATGGTTTCTTCGGGAGGCAATTTTTTCATTTTGGTGGCTATTCGAAAGGACCGAAAACTGTGCCGTGGCATGGCACTGGAAATAATGACACCAGCGCTGCAGTTGGAGCACGATTCGGAACGAGCGGAAGCACGGACATGAGACCAGTGTTGCAGAGGGAGCACGATTCGGAACGAGCGGTAGCCCGAACATGAGGCCAGCGCTTCAGCGAGAACAGCAGTTGGAACAACAGCAAAAAATACCAAGCGCGGAAGCGCGGAAATGTGGACGCGTAGCCTGACACAGCATGGCGTGACGTCGCCCCAAAGTGGGAACGTTTGGGGGCGGCTTTTGCAGGCCAAACAGTTAACACATCGGCACGGACTGTGTAATCACTTCCGATGGGTGTTTCGGGGGTGGGCATTTTCTAAATTTTGGGGCTATTGAGGATGGACTGAAAAACCATACGAGCGGTAACCCGAACATGAGGCCAGCGCTTCAGCGAGAGCAGCAGTTGGAACACATCAAAAGGAAACGGAAGTGCAGACATGAGGACGCGTAGCTTGACACAGCATGCCGTGGCGACGCCCCAAAGTGGGAAAGTGGGGGGAGGGCGGTTTCTGCGGACCAAAAAATGAACGAGTCGGCACCGAATATCGGCCTACCGTAACACGTTTCGTAGTCCCATTTGGAGCTCCACCGAAGGCCCCAGAGGCGGTGCCTACATGCGTTCCCGCCAGCCACCCCTCACACGTTTCGTGGCCCCATAAGGTGCTCCACCGAAAGCCCCAGTGGCGGTGCCTACAGGCGTCCCAGCCACCTATGTCGGCACACACCTCACACGTTACGTGGCCCCGCTGGGAGTTCCACCGAAGGCCCCCGTGGCGCTACCCACATGCGCCCCCGCAGCCCATGTCGGCCGACGCGTCACACGTTTCGTGGCCCCATCGGGAGCTCCACCGAAGGCCGTAGTGGCGGGGTTGACATGCGCCCCCGCCACCCAAGTCGGCAAACCCCTCACACGTTTCGTCGCCCTATAGGTAGCTCCACCGAAGGCTCCAGTGGATGTGCCCACATGCGTCCACGACACCAATTTCGGCCTACCTCTCACACGCTTCGTTGCCCCATAGGGAGTTCCACCGAAGGCCTCAGCGGGGGTTTCCACGTGCATCCCCGCCACCCATGTCGGCACACCCTCACACGTTTCGTGGCTTCCTAGGGAGTTCCTTCGAAGGCCCCAGTGGCGGTGTTCACATTCGTTCGCGCCACCAATGTTGGCACACGGGTCACATGCTTCGTGGCCCCATAGGGAGCGTCACCGAAGGCCCCAGTGGCGCTGCCCACATGCGCCCCCGCCACCCATGTCGGCACACCCCTCACACGCTTCGGAGGTCCATAGTGAGCTCCACCGAAGGCCCCATTGGCGGTGCCCACATGCGTCCCCGCCACCCATCTCGGCACACACCTCACACGCTTCGTGGCCCCATAGGGAGCTCCACCGAAAGCCCCAGTGGCGGTGCCCACATTCATCCCCACCACACATTTCGGCACACACCTCACACGTTTCGTGCCCCCACTGTGATTTTTGTCCAAAGGCCGTAGCGGCGGTGCCCACATGCGTCCCCGCCACCCATCTCGGCACACCTCTCACACGTTTCGTAATCCCAAAGTGAGCTCCAAGGGAGGGTGTAGTGGCTGTGCCCACATGCGTCCCCGCCACCTATGTCGGCACACCCTTCACACGTTTCGTGGCCCCATAGGGAGTTCCACTGAAGGCTTTCGTGGCGGTGCCCACATGCGTCCCCACCACCCATGTCGGCACACCAGTCACACGCTTCGTGGCAGGCCGTAGTGGCGTTGCCCAAATGCGTCTCCACCTCCACCACCAATGTCAGCACACCCCTCTCACGCTTCGTGGCCCCATAGCAAGCTCCACCAAAGGCCCCATCGGTGGTGCCCACATGCGTCCCCGACTTCATGTCGGCACACCGGTCACACGCTTCGTTGCCCCATAGGGAGCTCCACCGAAGGCCCCAGTGGCGATGCCCACATGCGTCCCCGCCTCCCATCTCGGCACACCCTCACACGTTTCGTGGTCCCATTGGGAGCTCCACCACAGGCCCCATTGGCGGTGCCCACATGCGTCCCCGCCACCCATGTCGGCACACCAGTCACACGCTTCGTGGCAGGCCGTAGTGGCGTTGCCCAAATGCGTCTCCACCTCCACCACCAATGTCAGCACACCCCTCACACGCTTCGTGGCCCCATAGCAAGCTCCACCAAAGGCCCCATCGGCGTTGCCCACATGCGTCCCCGACCTCATGTCGGCACACCGGTCACACGCTTTGTTTCCCCATAGGGAGCTCCACCGAAGGCCCCAGTGGCGGTGCCCACATGCGTCCCTGCCACCCATCTCGGCACACCCTCACACGTTTCGTGGTCCCATTGGGAGCTCCACCACAGGCCCCATTGGCTGTGCCCACATGCGTCCCCGCCATCCATGTGGGCCCACCTTTCACACGCTTCGTGGCCCCATAGGGAGCTCCACCGACGGCCCCAGCGGCGGTGCCCACACGCGTCCCCACAACCTATTCCAGCACCCTCTTCAGACGTTTCGTGGCCCCATAGGGAGTTCCACCGGAGACGATACTGCCGTTGCGTTACTCACAGCTGCATATGGTTGGGCCTCCACAGGCTTTTTTCCTGGTTGGCGGCCCCGTGGCGCGAGCACGACCGATCGCAACCACTCCGGGCCGCTCGTAAACCGCTTCGGACCGATCGCAACCAGTTGCGATCGGTCCGAAGTGGCTGCGATATTTTTGGGTCGTTGCAATAAGGCTTTGATTAAGGAAGAGATCATAAGAGCGCTTCTGGGTTCAATGAGGTATCTTAAGCCGCCCAATGGGAATCTGAAAAAGCGGTTGCGATCGGTCTGATCACAGACGGCCGAGCATGATTTCAGGTAGACACATTATTGGAGCTCGAACGTGGCCATGATCCGTATACGATTCCTATGTGATTCGTATATGGTTGAAACCGAAATTCAGCGAAAACGCGCGGCGTGAAACAATTTGCATCTCAGGAGGGGGAGGATGAGGAGGAGGAGGAGGAGGAGGAGGAGGAGGAGGAGGAGGAGGAGGATAGGAAGGAGGAGGAGGATGCGAAGGAGGAGAAGGATGAGGAGAAGGAGGAGGAGAAGGAGGAGGAGGAGGAAGAGGAGGAGGAGGGGGGGAAAAACGGAAGAGGACAGGATGGCAAGGCGGGTAGACGCGGCGGCCCAAACCCCCAACGTCATGACTTTTCCAGGACGTCGACCCCCAAAGGTCTGGACAAATTCCCCTCGTGTAGTTTTCTTCTGCGTCGGCACCCGCAAGGATTTTGGCACCGCGTGGATCGTTCAACCTTGAATCGATCGCGGCCCCGATCCTTCAATGTTGAATTTCGTCGGGCACCGTGGGCCCAACGTGTCCCTCGGTGCTTCCGCGTCGCAAAATGCAGCCTTGAACGCCTTCGCCAACGTCGCCGGCGCGCCAACGCCGCATGAACCTACAGTCCGCCAGCATTGCATACTGAGTCACTTTTGGACGGCCCCTGGGCCCGGCGATGGTCCCCCGAGCCCGAAACAAAAACAGACGTTGTCACGACGCCAGGCGGTCTGGGCCTGCCGTGGTTGTGGGAACCATGGCTGGGGGACGTGTGCGCCCTGAGCGGCCTGCGAGACCTTTGGCGCCCGTGCAACACGCGGGACCTGTGGGACCTGTGGGGCCTGCGGGGCAGGCCTCTCAGAAGCCTTTCAGAAGCCTCTCAGAAGCCTCGCCTCTCAGAAGCCTCTCAAAAGCTTCTCAGAAGCCTCTCAGAAGTTTCGCAGAAGCCTCCCACAAGCCTCTCAGAAGCCTCTCAGAAGCCTCCCACACGCCTCTCAGAAGCCTCCCACACGCCTCTCAAAGGCCTCCGACAAGCCTCTCAGAAGCCTCCCACAAGCCTCTCAGAAGCCTCCCACAAGCCTCTCAGAAGCCTCCAACAAGCTTCGCAGAGGCTTCAGAGAAGCCGTTCAGAGGCCTCAGAGAAAACTTTAAGAAGCCTCAGAGAAACCTTTCAGAGGCCTCAGAGAAGCCTTCTCAGAGGCCTCAGAGAAGCTTTTCAGAGGCCTCAGAGAAGCCTTTCAGAAGCCTCCGCAGGAGTTCTTGGATCGGTTGCAATCCGGTGTTCTCCTGACAGGTTTGTATAGGAATCCTTTAGGTTGCGATCAGTCCGTTTCCAGTTGTTGCAATCCGACCGAAGTAGTTCCTGAACAGTCCGAAATGGTTGCGATCGGTCTTATTCCCGCCCCGTGGCCCCCGTGGACAGGGCCTGGGGTTTCCGAGAGCGGCGAGAACAAGTTGAGTGCCCTTGTCCCTGAGGACCCGCCGTCGTCCTCGCCCTTCTCCTCGTCCTCGTCCTCGTCCTCGTCCTCGCCGTCGTCCTCGTCGTCCTCGTCGTCCTCGTCGTCCTCGTCCTCGTCATCGTCGTCGCCATCGTCGACGTCGTCCTCGTCGTCCTCGTCGTCCTCGTCGTCCTCGTCCTCGTCCTCGTCACTCGTCACTCGCCGCCCTCTGCAAGGGGAGGCCTGGCAACGGGCACGCGCTGCCCGCGAGCGGCCTGGACGGCGTTTTCGCGGAGCTGTACGGTGCGCGGCCCCCGTTGAGCGCCGCCCCCGGCCCGGCGGACGCCCCATAGGAGTCGGGGTTCAAGAGACGGTCGGGGGCCCCCAAACGGTGTGGTGACCACACCGTTCGGTGAGTCGGTGGGGATTCGGGGTCACCGCACGGTTTTGGGACTCGGGTCCTTCTCCGAGGATGTCTCGGGCGACAGAGGCCTCCGGGATCCCAAGACCGTGCGGTGACGGACCGTGCGGTGAGGTCTTCGGGGATTTCGAGGTCACCGCACGGTCTGTCACCGCACCGTTTCGGGACTCCAAAGACGGGGTTCAATGCAAACGGGGGTCAGCCAAGGCACCGGATGCTGCTGGATCCTGCGAAGACCCCCTCTGGCTGACCCGGGTTAGCGAGCCGCTCGTGGCCGCGAGGCGGCCGCGCACATTGGCTGACCCGGGTTTGCGAAGTTCTGCGTTGCAATTCTTGTTTCTTGCATTGCAGTTTTTGGTTTCCTGTTGACCCGGGTCTGGATTGACCCGAGTCAGAAGATCCCCGATAAAGAGGAGCCTCCTCATTTCGGCACGGTCAAACTGAAGGAAGGAGCATCGAGTAGCAGCACGTAGCGCATCAGCTGAAGTTCTCGGAGGCCCGCGCGGGTCTCTTGACTCAGTGCTGCCCCCCCCCCCCCCGGCGGCGCCTCTGGCGCCGCCTCTAGTGCGCTCCGCGCGCCAGGGAGGGTGCAGCGCCGATTCAACGTTGTATGCTTATGCCGTTCTTTGGTTTGCTAGAAAAGCCACCCTTACCCCTAGAATGCGGGTTTACCAGACGGCCCTGGGCGTGTGCTGAGCAGCCTCTTCCTGGTTGCTTCCCCTGGGTGCGTTTGCTGCACGGCTTCGCTTGCCGAGTGCTTGTGATAAGGGCGTTTTTTTGGCCTCCTAGAAATGGATACGGAAAGAATGGGTGCGAAAGAATTGGATACGGATAGTGTTTGTGCTGTGTTCTATTGTGTGCGGCAGTGCGGTGTGGTTTTGTGAGGTGCTGCGTGGCATGGCGTGGTGTGGTGTGTTGTGGTGTGTGTGCATGTGTATATGCCCCAGCGCCGCGCAAGCGCCCAGACCGTCCGCCGACCGCACCTCCCGCCGATTGCCCTTATCGCCGCCGTTGCCGGCGCCGTCGGTGTCGTTGTCGCCGTCGCCTTCGTCGTGGTCGTGTCGGCGCCTTGTTAGGCCCCGTCGTCCTTGAGATCTGACGTCGCCCCCCAAAAAAACATCGTCCAGAGGCACGGCACGAATGCCAGACCCAGTCTTTCTGCTGCGTTGTGTCGAGCCAGGTCGATCTGTGATGGCCTCGGGGCCCGAGACGCGGCGAAAACGACCTGCACCAACAAAATGCAACACCCGTGTCTCAGGAGCCGACCTCGGCTCGGGCTTCGCGTCGTGGGGGGGTGGGGCGATGAACGGGGTGGCGGGATGTGCCCCTTTTGTACACCTCAGGGGCCCTGAAGGGGGACCCCTGGGGTTTTAAAAAGGGGCACGACAGGTGCAAGTTGTTCCGCCCCCTCCCATTGGAGCGTCGCACCAAAAAGGTGTTCATCTTCACGACATCGGCGCGTAAGCTGCCCGCGTAGGGTCGCGCGTGAGCGCCCTCGCCTCCAATGTGGTTTGCCGCGCTGGTGGGCCGCGTACGCCACCCTAAGGTCGCTGTGCCATCTCGCGTAATACCCGTTTTGATCGTCGCTCATGCCTCGCACCCACAATGCCCAGACCCCGGACGTCGTGAGTTCTGTTCACAACGTCGACCCCCAGAGATCTCGACCCCCCTTCCCGGGACCGGTTTCTCCACCGCTGAGTCGTTTTGTTGACGCCCCCGAGGGCCGGGGAGGGCGGAGGGCCCCTATGGAGGCCGAAACTTGCGAAAAACCTCCAGTCGTGATTTTGTTCCGCAACGCGAGGAGGAGGAGCGAGGAGCGAGGAGGAGGAGCGAGGAGCGAGGAGGAATCCTGCGTCGTGTGTTGACGGCCCCGAGGCCCGGAGATGGCGCCCCGAGGCCGAATCTTGCGAAACGCCTCCCGTCGTGATTTGTTCCAACCGCGAGGGGTTTGGGGTTTCCCGCGCCCCCCATTAAGTCGGGCATGGCATGCCGTTCTACAGGAGGAATCAAAAATAGTTGGAACCTCGTCTGGGGACCATGTCTTTTACTAGGTTTGACTCTTTTGGGGTATTGTTCTTGGCTGCTATTCATTTTTCTTCCACAATCCCCCTGAAGGAGGACATGCCCGACCTAAACCTCCCACTGGGCAACGCCCGCTGGGCGCAGTCCCAGAGATCCAACGTATTGAAAAAATCAAGACGGATGTTTTTTGTCATTTCCGGCCTCCAGAGGCCCTCGCCAGGCCTCGTGACCGTCAACAAAACGACTCGGGATGAGAAACCGGCCCTGGGGAAAGGGCCAGGACTTCCTGGGACCCCAGATTCAACGAAAAAGCACGACATCGGAGCTCTGTTTTGGGGCCTCTTGGGGGTAGTTCTGGGGCCTCCTGGGGCCTGCGTTGGGCCTCTTGGGCGCCTGTGAGGGCCTCTTGGGGGCCCTGTGGGGGCCCCTCGGGGCCTCTTGGGCGGCTCCTGGGGCCCCCATGGGGGCCTCTCAGGGCAGCCCGCGGCGGCGGCGGCGGCCCCCCGCAGGGCCCGCCGCGCTGCGGCGGGCCGCGGCGCAGCTCGCCGCGTGCCCGGGCTGGGAGCCGGAGGGCGGCGCCCCGGTGGGCACCGCCGCGCTGTGCCGCGCAGGCCCGCGGCCAGCCCGGGCGCCGGCCCGCGGCCTCGGCGGCGGCCTCGCTCCTCTTCGCTCGCTCCTCCTCCTCCTCGTCGCTCCTCCTCCTCGCTCCTCCTCCTCGCTCCTCCTCCAGCTCCTCCTCGCTCCTCCTCGCTCCTCCTCGCTCCTCCTCCTCGCTCCTCCTCCTCCTCCTCCTCGCTCCTCCTCCTCCTCTTCCTCCTCGCTCCTCCTCGTTCCTCCTCGTCGCTCCTCGTCGCTCCTCCTCCTCCTCGCTCCTCGCTCCTCCTCGCTCCTCCTCCTCCTCGCTCCTCGCTCCTCCTCCTCCTCGCGCTGTGGAAACAAAATTACGACGGGAGGTTTTTCGCAGATTTCGGCCTCCATAGGGGCCCTTCCCAGCCCTCGGGGCGTCATCAAAACGACTCAGCGGTGGAGAAACCGGTCCCAGGGAAGGGGTCGAGACCTCTGAGGGTCGACATTGTGAAAGAATCACGACGTCGGCGGCCTTGGCAGCGGCCCAAATGGCGTCTTCGTCTGAGATCCTGGCGCTGCATTTTTTTCACGCCGTGCGCTTTCGCCTGTCTGCGGGCCCCGGGACCCTCCTCACAGATCGCTCCGGTTTGAACAGTGATCAGGAGGGGAAGAAATACACGGACACAATTCATCTTCGATTCCCAGGAAAATATGTGACAATAATTATGGGAAGTGGGGGGAAGACAAACACCAATAAAATATTTGAACATTTGGGGAATCCTTTTATTTGTGTGTCCCTGGGCCCCTTCAGTGAGTTTTTACGATGTTGCAATTTTTGGGCTGCGTCGGATCTCGGGATCGGCGGCGGCCTCGGCGGTGGCCCACCTGGCGTCTTAGGCAGCGACGGCGACGACGTCCTGGGTGGCCCGCCGCCAGCACGCGACCTCGACGGCGCCAACCGGCAGTCTGGAAGATATACCTTCGGCGGCGAAAGTGAGGTTCTAGGTTGAAGTAGGGCCTGTCCCCCTTACACCTCTACAGGAGAAATATTCAGAATTATTCAGAAAAGAGTCTGGGGACGATGTGTCGACTTTTTGTTACCACGGCTGAGTTTTTGTTTGACTATGGTTTGTGATCTGCCCCAAATCCGCCCGTAGGGGGACATGCCCGACCCAATTCTAGGTTCGAGATGTCTGGGCATGGTCGTGCCGGTGCCTCCTCCCTTCTCCTTCGGGTGTTGCCAGAGGTGCTCCTGGGCCGAGGTGCCCCCAGGGACGCCAGGCACGGCCTCGGGCCCTCCGCCCGGACAGGCACGTCCGCGTGGAAACGGTTTGTGCAGGCTGTCGCCCCGTGTCGTTCATGATGCTAGGGCGTCTGCGCCTGTCTGCCCTCTCCAGGGGCAAGGATAGGGGGGGATAGGCATATGTAGGGGGGGACGCATTGACCCCCAATCGCCTATTGATCGCCGATAGGGTCCCGAGAGCCCCAGGCTGCGCATCAAGGTGCGGATTCACTATCGGGGGCCTATCGCCGATCTATCGGCGATGTATCGCCGATTCCAGGTCGATGCATACCCCCATATGCCAGTCCCCCCCACCATTACCCCTCATTGTCATGTGTGGCCTGTGCTTTTTTACTTCTGGGATGTTGTTGTAAATATAGCCACTTGTCAGCCTCTGCCGCGTATCGCCACGGAGTGCACGGGTTACTCGTGAGATAGCGCGTTCGTCCCCGTAAAGCGAGCGAGCCTTCAGTCGAGGTCATTGGGGAAAAAAATGATTTGTGCATGTTCGTGCGTCCTCCGCGTTTTTCCAGCTTTGGGGTGCGTTCCAGCAGCTGCGCCTCGCCGAGGGCGTTCGGGGGTTGCCCGTATCGTCCCGAACGGCCGCCAGATACCCGAGTTATGACCCGAAAGCGACTGCAGTCGCCCCCACGTCCGGGGTCTGATTGGTCCGGTTGGTCCGGTCCGAGTGGTCCGGTTGGTCTGGTTGGTCCGGTTGGTCTGGTTGGTTCGGTGGGTCTGGCTGGTCCAGTTGGAAGGGCTTCGCTGGACAAGCCCACGCTGGCGCTGACACGCTTCCGTAGGATCATCGATTCTTGCCTTCCGTTTTACGGCGCCACGCGCGGGGCGGTGGGGGAAGCAGGAGAGGGAGGCGCCGGCTCAAGCACACCGGCCCAGCATGGCGATGGGCGCGCTCTGTGGCGAGATTGCGAGATGCGTTCCCTGAAGTTCGCCGTGCTCGTGCTCACCCCGCATTGCTGCCAGTCGACGAAGGAAAACTGCAGTCATATGAACTTTCGGAGCTCCGCGCAGATTTCTTGGATCCGCGCTGGGGCCCCCTC